GTGTTGGGGGCAGTGGATGGGGGACAGTGTTGGGGACAGTGTTGGTGGCAGTGTTGGGGGGCAGTGGACGGGGGGTAGTGTTGGGGCAGTGGATGGGGACAGTGTTGGGGGCAGCATATGGCAGCAGTGAATGGGTGGGTGCCAGGTTGGGGAGTGGGGAGCTGGGGACCTGTCCCCTCTTGGTTGGGGCGGTGAGTCTGAGAGGCGCACTGACACCTATGTCAGGACCTTGCGTCGTAGCTGGACACGTGCGTCTGGAGTTGGGGAGAGGGAAGGGGCTGTGAACGTGAACTTGGGAGTCTGACGTGCTGCGAACCCCTAGGGCTTTTCTGTTGATCTTTGTCCACACTTGAGAGCGTAATGGCTTCTGTGCCTGCCTTTATGTGCATTTCTTCGGTGGCTGAAGAAGCTGAGCACTGTCACGTACGTACTGGCCCCTGCGTGTCTCGCTTCACAGCTGCAGGAAAGAGATTGCGTTGAGAAAAGAGAAAAACAAGGAGCCTGTGTCAGACGAGCGCCTGCCCGTGCCGAGAGAGCGGGCGCCTCCGGGCCAGCTCCCGGGGATGAAGCGTCTCGTAGCCAAGGACAAGGTGAGTGTGCCCGGCGCACGGCCCGCGGGTGCTGGGGACAGGCTGCTGTGGGGTCGCAGCTCGAGCAGCCGGCCAGAGTTACTGTGCACAAACGCCTGTGCCGGGTTTCGTGGAAATCCACAGACCCATCCCGGCGAGGCCCTGGGATGCCCCAGGGAGGATGAACTTGACGTGCAGTGCAGACCACCTCAGGAGGGGCTGCCAGGGGCCCACACGGCGACTGAGGGAAGGTGAGGCTGGGGGCAGCCACGAGGGGGCTCCCCATGGAGCAGAGCTGGCCTCTGGACGCCCTGATCACTAACTGGTTGTCCCTGCAGACCACAGGGGCCCACCCCTTATGGGATTGCCCTTAAAGGCAGGCACCCATCCCAACCGCCACAGTCTTACTCAAAGAACACTGGTACCGGGGGTGCCCCCAAAGTCACGGCTTTGTGAGGCATGGCAGGAAGACGCTGGGATCTCAGAGTGTGCAGGCTCTTCAGCAGGCCAGGGCTTGGCCTGCCACCCAAGTCCAGGATGGCAAGGGTCAGTCGTGCACCTTGCTGAGCTGTAAAAGCTCGGTGGCCTGTCCCACGCCGGACAGGGTGTTGCTTGATACCAAGAGAGAGGGAGAGAGTGAGCCGTGTCAGGGAGGCTGGTGGTGGCTTGGCTGGGTGTGAGGGATAAGTAAGAAGAGACAGGAGTCCAGGACGCGTGACGTTTGTCAGGAGCAAAACAGGCGGGGTCCTGAGGCCTGAGCTTGGCAGTGCACCTGGGACCTACGGGTTGTCCTCTGTGCCGCAGGGCTGTTGAGGACCCTTGGTGGCAGCCCAGCTTCCTGTGTGTGTGCAGTCACCTGCCTCCTTTAACAGAACATATCGAGGGGACACAGACGTGGGACAGTGGTGGCTCAGGACTGTGGTCTCTTACAGATTTTGAAAATAAATGGAGAGACCGGGAGGGACCTCGACGGAACCTGCTTTCCCCAGCTGTGGATGCTCAAAGCAGAGGTCCTGCTGGAGATGGACCTGCACCAGCCCGCACGGCTGCTCCTGGCAGAAGCTCACCTGGCCTTCCAGGTGAGGAGCCCCTCCCAGTGCATCACCATCCAGAGCAGGTCCCCCTTACCTGTGCACAGAGAGAGGCTTCTGTCTGTGGAAGAGGAACCTGCCGTTCTGAAGCTTGCTTTGTACCTGTCCGTCCTAGAAAATCCACTTGGTTCTCTTTCATGGGTTCAATTCTCTGTGGAAAGTCTGTCTCTCAAATCCTTTGTCCATCTTTTCCTCTGTTTGCTTGAACTTATGAATCACAGCTTGTTAAAGTCCCTGTTTCCAGTAACTGCTTTGGGTCTGTTTCTGCCGCCCCTTTTTTCTCTTGGATCTCAGAGGTTTGGTTCTGTCCTCGAGCTTTCCTCTTAACTNCTCTCAAATCCTTTGTCCATCTTTTCCTCTGTTTGCTTGAACTTATGAATCACAGCTTGTTAAAGTCCCTGTTTCCAGTAACTGCTTTGGGTCTGTTTCTGCCACCCCTTTTTTCTCTTGGATCTCAGAGGTTTGGTTCTGTCCTCGAGCTTTCCTCTTAACTTCTTTCTTTTCGATGCTGTATGTGGAAGATGAAAGCTTGGAGGGCTGCTGGGTGGTGCCTTCCACCAGAGCACAGTGGTCTGTTCTAGAAGGCAGGTCATGTGTAGGGCCACTGTGGTCCAGGTGACCTCCGTCTAGCCTTGTCTTTGTCCCGTCTGTTCTCCTCAGCCAGTGGGCTCTGGCTTCCCTCTTGAGTTCTGCTGTCCCACCGATGGCTGCCCTCAGGGAAAATCTAGGATGGATGGAAAATCCAGCACAAAGGGAAGCCCAGTTCCTGCCAGTGTCGACTGCTCTCCAGGCTCACCTCCAGACACACGCTGTATCTTCTGTCCAGATATTAGCCTTTCCTTCATTAAGAGGGTGAGGCAGAGCTACACAGCCAGACAGCCTGTCCCTTGTTTTAAAGAAGACTTCCCCCCCACCACCAAAAAAAAGACCTCGTAATGGTATAAAAATTTAGTGACATCCACCCAAGCCTAGTGAGGTTCAGACTCCATCTCAGGCAGCAGGGACAAGTGTGTGCAGATCTCAGGACCAGGGAAAGGTGTGTGCAGGTCTCAGGCAGCTGGCACAGGTGTGTGTAGGTATCAGGCAGGGGACAGGTGCGCAGATCTCAGGAAGGGACAGGTGTGTGCAGGTCTCAGGCAGGCAGACAGGTATGTGTGGGTCTCAGGCAAGAACAAGTGCATGCAGGTCTCGGGCAGCTGGCACAGGTGTGTGCAGGTCTCAGGCAGGGGACAGGTGTGTGCAGGTCTCAGGCAGGGGACAGGGGTGTGCAGGGCTCGGGCAGGGGGACAGGCGGGCAGATCTCAGGCAGGGGGACAGGTGTGTGCCAACCAGAATTGAGAGGAGCCTCTCCCCAGTTGGACCGAGACCACTGTGGCCAGCTGGGGAGGGGAGAGAGGCCCGATGGGACATGCATGGGCGCCACACTCTGCAGGCCACAGTCTCGGCCCTGGGAGACAGTGGCCTCTCCTGAGACAAAGGGAGCACAGGGTGGAAGAGCTCTGGGCCACGAGCATCAGCCCCAGTGCAGGCAGGAGGATGCAGAAGGAAGCGGGAGGCGTGAGGCCCCAGACTTGGGACAGGAGCAAGGCTGGTGAGGGACGGGGACTCGGAGAGGCTCCCATGGGACCTAGCGCACATCCTGGGCCTAGTGCGGCCCTGGTTCCCAGTCCCCAGGACAGTTGGGACGATGTCAGCCTGGTGCACATGCGGCCTGCGGCCACCTCCGTTCCTGCCATTGCTGTGTGGCCATGATGCTTCATCTTGCCCAAAACAGGTCTCCTAGCCCCCGCGTCCGTCCCCAGCCTTCCCCATCGGCTCGGCCCCTCCGCCCCTCCCAGCTAAACCCAGACCCTTAATGCACTGCAGCGCGCCTGCTCCCCGGCCAGCGGTGACTGCTGAGCCCAAGTGTGCGGACCGTGTTCTGCCCTGTCCCCTTCCTTCCTGGCTGCTGGCACCCCTCCCCCACTCTCTCTGGCTCCCTTCTCTCTCGCACCCTCCGCACTCCCAGCCCCCAATGTCTGCATCTCTTGGGTTTCTGCCCACCCCTTGGCTCTCTCCCTGGGACGCAGGCCCCATGACCCAGTGACTAATCAGCTGAGGCCGCCTCCTCTGGGTGTCCACAGGAGCTGGTCACTCTTGCTGTCGCCTCCTCAGAACACAGCTCTGCCTCCTTGCACACAAGTGTCCACACCAGAAAGCCTGGTGCTGGCCTCACCCTGCACTGCGCCACCCACTCTCCAGTGCTCCAGCCCCGGGCCTGGCCCTGTTCAGCCTCCGCAGCCCCTCCTCTCAATGGGACGCTCACCCTGGCTGGGCTGCTGGCGCCCTGCAGCGCCCCTGACCAGGCCGCCAGGGGCCGGCTCTGCTTGGGCCTCATTCAGCCACGTGCTGGCCTCGCTGCCTGAGCCCAGCCTCCTGGGCCTCTGCCTCAGCCCTTGGAGCCCTGCACTGTCCTGCCGGCTTGGCCGAGAGGCCAGAAGTGCTCTTCTGCAGAGACGCCCCCACCTTCCCACCCCAAGCCACCCCCAACTGCCCAGTGGGCTGCTGTGGACCCCAGCCCTGTGTACACACTCTCCGCGGTGCAGGCTGTGGCTTCCAGGAGGGACCTGCGTCGGGCCTGGCCCTGTCTCTCCTGGTGGACAGCATCCCCTCCCCCTTCCTGGGCACACTGAAATGTGTGGAGTGGTCAGAGGACAACAGAGCTCCTCACAGATCCTGTGCGGGGCCTGTGCCCAGCCGCTCCCCTCTGTCCCAGCCTGGCCACGTCCTGTCTCCTCTGTCCACACAAGCAGCTGGGGCTTCCGGTTGGGCCCAGGACGTGACATCCCGGCCTTCTTGCCTCCTCCGTGGACAGCGCCAGTCAGCACATGGCTGTGACCAGCTGTCACCAACTCCACTCCCTCCATGCAACATGCTCCTTTGTTGTTAACAATTTTTAAATTTTAAACGATTTTTTGAAATTGTTTAAACTGTCTTAAAATTGCCCCATCTTTTCTGGCATTTACCATGAGGCCTCCAGAGAAGCCTCTGGAGCACGACAGGAAGGGGGCTTCAGCATCAGCGCTGGCAGGACAGGGGAGAGCTGACACGTGGGGAGCCCAGAGGGGACCGCTCGTCCTGCTGCAGCAGGCGCCTGGGCTCGGGTGGGCTCCCGTCCATCCCGGGTGGTGACCACCTCTCCCCGAGGCCAGAGCCAGCCGGAAGCGCTGGAGCCGGTGCCGGAGGAAAGGCGCTAGGCCGTTCCGTTGCAGGCTCTGCGGGGCTGTTACCGTGGTCTCCAAGCCCCCGAAGTGGGTCCCTGAAGTGGGTCCCCACACACAGGTGTCGCTCCTGAGAGCAAATAGGAGGCCTCGGCCTTCAGCTGCCAGAGAAGCCCCAGGTTCCTCTCCCCCACCGGATCGCCCCCTCCTCACCTGTCTGTCTCCACCCCTCCCCCTCCCTCCCTCCGTCTGTCTGTGTCTGTCTCTGTCCACCTCTCTTCCCACACCCCATCTCCGTGCACGTATCTTATTCTATGTACCCGGAGGCATATACATCCATATCTACCTCTACATCTTTTTCAGGAGCTTGATGACCCTTTTGCAGAGTCACAATGCCTGTTGCTTCTAGCACAGTTGGCCAACAAGGAAAAAAACCACGGACAAGCGAGGACACTGGTGGAGCGGGCCCAGCGCCTGGGTGGGACCGAGGAGTTGTGGTACAATTCAGCCCTGACGCTGGCGGAGACGCTCCTGTCCACGGAAGAGGAGGGGCGAGAAATCACGGTGAGGACACGTGGCAGACGCCTGTGCTCAGCAGAGGGGACGCCGTGGGGCTCTGAGCGACACATGCATAGTAACATCAGTGCTGGTGTCATCCCAGGTCTGCCACCTTTTCCAAAAACTCATAGATGCCTTTGAGGTTCTCAAGAAAGAAAGACCTAACAGGATGCCCATGCTGGAATTCTTCACCACAGACCTGGAAGCCAGGTAGATTTCTATAAGAAAAACTGTTCATTCACATCCAAGTTGTGGTTTACCTTCTTCCATCTGTTAAGTTTTATGCTGTCACGTGATGGGGCCACACACCCGCCTCCCCCACAGAGCTCCAGAAAACTCCAGAAGTGCCCTACACTTCCGCAGCCCCCCTGGGAAGCAAGCCTTCCGTCCACACGTCTTGCTGACTGACTTAGGAAGGTGACCCCGGGGCCCTAGGGGGAGCATAACAAATTGTTTCCTCTAGGTGTGTGGCTGCATTAGCATAAATGTAGATAGCGTCTTTTCTTATAGCTTTTGAAAAGCCTTTGTCTCAGGCACGTCCCCTACGATAGCTTATCTGGGACATCTCTCTTCTTCGGAAACAGAATTGCAGACTCCACTTTAACTGGCTTGTCAGAGAACCAGCTTTGGGTTTACTGACCACAGCAAGAGGGAATTTAGTCTTATTCTGGTTTTCTTTATTTTCTGCTTCCCCTTCGTGAGGGTCTTTCTGTGCTGGTGAGGGGCTGCTCACACTGTCCCAAGCTGAGCGCGGGGGTCCTTGAGCTGAGCGTGAGGTCCTTGAGCTGAGCGCGGGGTCCTTGAGCTGAGCGTCTGTCCCCTTTTCCTCGTGCTCCTCTGAGCTCCACTCGGCAGCACTCGCAGGCCTGGTGTTTACAGTTTGTCACTTTAGTGTGGCTATCTTTTCTACTCGTGAGTCATTTAGGAAAGTTTTTGAATTCGGGAGTGGGTCTTGTTAATTTCCACTTTTTCGCACTGTGATCAGTGCATGTGGCCTGTTTGGTTTCCAGTTTTTGAGAAATGTCCTGCAGGTGTTTCTTCCAGCATCCATGGGTGAGCACTAGAGAGAATGGCAGTAGCCAAACTTGAGAGGTGACACAGTCCCAGGGTTTTTGACTCAGTGGCCTCAGCAGCCACTGAGGAGGAGTCTGTCCCACCAGGTGCGTGAGCCTGCAGATCACAGTCGCCCAGGAGGCAGCGGACAGCGAGCCTCCTGATGGCTGCTTTTTACTGAAAGGGATGGATGACACCTTGATGAAAATTGAGGAAAAGTTCATCAACTGTGGCTACAGAGAGAACTGTGTTGATATAAAACTAGAGCGTGCAAAGATCAAGAGGTAAGGGCTCGCTGCAGGCACTGCCGGGCGGTGGAGGAGCCACCCACAGGGCAGGGCGGGCCGGCGTTCGCCTTGCACAGCTCTGCTTTACCCCAAGTCCCACACACGACGCCTCCTACGCAGCTGCAGCCCCACGGGCTGCTCAGACCCTTCTCCCTGGGCAGCCTCCTCCCCGCTGCAGCTTGGCCCTCCTGTCTGGGCCACACACCTGGCTTTTGTCCGCAGTCCCGGGCCTTGTGGCTGCCCACCCCTCTCGGGGACACCCGTGCAGGGATCTGCAGCCTTCGTGAGTATCCTCCAGCCCATGGCTCCTCCTGGCTCCCGCCTGCCCTTTCGACACCCACACACATCCCCCCACCACCGTGCGGACATGCACAGTCACGCCTCACAGCCCCCCTCTGACACACGGCACTGCCCCCACTCCACATCATCCACAGGCCACACACACACACACCCTGAGCACACTCCACGTGGCTCTGACCTCAGCTCCAGCAGGACTGTCGCTTGCCCCTCCATTGCTTGCCCCATGCCAGCTGCTCTCCCAGCTACAGGGCAGGCACAGCCACCACCCCCTTCTGGCAAAGACTCGGTGAAGGCCCTCCCCTCAC